AGAGTAAATAGTAAACAAGTATATATATATATATATATATATATATATATGTTTTATGTATATTTTCTACATGGAAGTTTCGTGTCGCGATATATCCGCGAGATATATTTCTTGATATATTTGCATTTTTAATATCCGTCGTTTTAATTGATTGTCTGCCCGTATGAAAAAGCGTTTGCGCATACGGGGAAAATGAAATTTTTCGTCGGGGAAACATAATGCCTCTTTAAAAGGCAGCGATTCCATGCGTCAGACGTTTTCACAGAGGGACGTCTCTCTCACTTTGTCTCCTCGCGAATCTTCGTGTCGCGCCGCCGTCCGAGATATGAAAAGCCATCTAACCGAAGTTTACATCCTGAAAAGATGAGAGGAGTGTGAACGTGGCACCTTTGCATTTTTCAATGTCTTTTTATGACTCGCGATTGACGTCACCGCAAAAAGTCGTGACGCGACGTAGAAAAATATCCGACGTTGGCTCAACCTTTGAATGACATCTTTGTCTTCGTATGACAAGCCATAAGGTGGAAGATTGCTCGGATACAGAAAGGAGTAGACAGGCAAATAAGTCTCGGGAGAGAATAATGTTTGAGTATTAAGATTTATATACTTTTGTTATTAAAAAAAAAAACATATTTTTTTCCACATCTAATATATATTCTATGCCAAAAAAAAACAATATTTTTTCCACATCTAATATATATTCTATGCCAAAAACTAATAAAAACATTAATATAATATAAAAAGAATATTAGACATATATTTATACATATATTTATTTAATATATCGTAGAAATAGATTGCTTAATTATATATTTAATTGAAAAAAGTTATTTAAATAATTTTCGTAAAATTACTAAAAAATTGAATGATAGAAATGATTTCACGATGGCTGCACGATGATTTTTCACAATGACGAAAAATGATATAACGAGATTCGCATTATCTTTACGAAAGACGATTGCAGCAGTAATCATATTATTTCTCCGATATACCGCGTGCACAATCGATCGAACAGCGAAATGGAAACCATACGGTTATGACAAATGTGCTTCCGCTATTTTTTGCCATTACGTACACTCGAATAAAGTTCACGGCGAATCGATTTTTCTCTTGCACAGCACAATTGAATTCCAAGTTTGACGTGCAGTTTTATTTCAAGTGCCTCTGCCACCTTTTAAAGATGCGATTCTATAAACTTCCAGGCTTTGGACGGATTAAAATCACGGTCTCCTCAGCCGAGTGATTCATTTTGCTTGATGCGCAAACCACCGTTCTGTCATTTCCCTAGGTACATTTATCTGGATTTCTTTCGAGACTTCATTGTGCTTCAAAGCTCGCGCTTTAAACGACATTTTACCAGAAATATAGGAAA